GCTGCAGTTATTTCTGCACTAACAAGGATTATGTCCCTTACCCTGGCCCGCAGGTGGCCCCAGGTGCAGGATGGTGAACAGCTGAGAAACTAGGGCAGGACAAAAGACATGGATAGGTCGGGTAGGCAGGTGGCCAGGTTCCTCCATTCTGGGCCAATGCTGGGGCTTGCTGAACAGGAAATGCTGGCCCAGGTCCCCCATGCTGTGTGCTCAAGTGTAGCCTAAGCTTCCCTCCTTTTTATAAAAATTCTGAGACGTTTGCTAAATTGCCTCCAAGTTTCAATCCTCCTGCCTCATAGTACAAGTAACTGAGATTACAAGCGTGCACCTTCACAACTCATTCCCCAATCTTCATTTTTGTAGTACTGAGACTAAACCCAGGGCCTTTGTGTGCAGTTATATCCCTAGCCCTTTTTTATCTTTTGAGGAAGAGTCTCACTAAATTGCTAAATTACCCAAGAGGACCTCAAACTTTTGATCCTTCTGCCTCAGCCTCCCAGTGCTAGGCTTAGAGGCCTATGCCACCATCCTTTCCAAGACACATCCCACTCCAACAGGAGCAGGTAGGCAGATGGTGAGGTATTTTTCCCCCTATATTTTGGGGGGTTTGATATGGAGCCTCAAACTCACCAGCTCCTGCTTCAGTCTCCAAAGTAGCTGGAATTACAGCATGCAGTGAGATTTTTAAGGACAGCTGGGCTCCTCCCCTAGTGAGCTGGGGGCAGGGCCTCCCTTGAGCCTCTCCTGGACACCCTCACCCACGATCCTGCCTTCGCCTGCTCAACGAGTGCTGGGCAGTGCACAGTAGGGCACAACTCACAGACCACGTCACTGTTTTACTTCTGAGCCACCTATGTGTGCCAGCTGGGGTCTCCACAGCTTTTCTGCTTTTGCGGGGGGACACAAGGGATTGAACCCAGGGCCTTTGCACTGTACTACATCCCAGCCTTTTTCTTTGAAACAGGATCTCATTAACTCACTAAATTCAGCTTTCGATCCTCCTGCCTCAGCCCCCTAGAGTGCTGAGATAAGAGGAGTGTGGCACCCGAGTCCAGCTGAACTTTTTCATTAGAGGCCAGTGGGGACACAACAGCCCTAAGCTTTTGTAGGACCCACATGGGGAGGGAGGAGGACCAGTGAAGTGGGAGGGTGGGGTTCTTGTACCCCAACCTCCAGCCAGGCCTGGGACTCAGAGCCCTGAGTGGTGGCCTGGAAGGAAGAAGTAGTGCAACCCCAGGGGCTCCACTGGGCAGAGAAAGGGACAGAAGCTGCACCCCACCTTTTGGCAGGCCCTCTGCAGACCAGCATCATGGGAAGATGTGACAACCTGGAGCCAGCAGTAATGGGGACCAGCTGGCCCATGGGCGTTTGGACCCTCGTAGAATGCCAGCCTGGGGCACTCACATCCCCAGGAACAGCTAAGGCAAGTACTATCCGGTTCGGTAAGTGGTGCCAGCGCGAGGCAGCTGTCTGTCACCACTGCCCACCAGGGGTAGGTCTTGTCCTCTTGGGACTTGGCACCATTGAACTCCAGGCTCCCCCAGCTGGAAGGCCAAGAACACAGCTGCTGTCTGTTCCTGGCTGCTCATGTCTGAGGCCTGCTAGGTAAAGTGACAGGCGTAGGGCCCAGTACTCTGTGTGACACTAGGACATCACTGCTGTGGCCACAGTGATGCAAAGAACTATGTGTCCTGGAAACATCACAGTGGTGAGCTGGAAGTCACTTCTCCTGGTACAGAGCCAGGGGACATGCCACAAGGGATGGGGCGCTGTCAGGGAACAGATACTCGGGTGGGAAGGGCCCATGCTCAGCATCCCTCTACCAAGCAGCCCAGAGGTGGGGAGAGACCCTGCAGAAGGGCCCTCTCTCACACTGTCCCAGAGCACTACCAGAAAGCAGCGTGGACTCGGCAGAGACCCCAAAACTACAGTGGGTGTCCTGAACAGTGAACACACACCCATAGCTAAGGGACAGAGGTCCAGATCCTCTGTATCAAAGGGTCTAGGGGAAGGCACATTACAAAGATTATGATCTAGTCATCAACTACCAACTTGAAAAGGCCAGTTTTGAGCTGGGCGCAGTCGTACTCATCTGTAACCCCAGCCCTTGGAAGGCTGAGGCAGGAGGATTGCAGAGTGTTTAAGGCCAGCCTGGCCTTCTTAATGAGACCCTGCCACAAAACAATTAAATGCAGTTTCATCAATAAATCAAAGCAACCCCCCTTTTTTTATGGTTCTGGCAATCAAACTCAGGACCTTGAGCTTGCAAGGCAGGCAGCAGCACCACTGAAATAAATCCCCAGCCCTTGGTTGTCTTTTTGAGACAGGGTCTGGATATGTAGCCCAGGCTGGCCTTAAACTCAAAAGGATCTTCCTCCTCAACGTCCAGAGTGCTGAGATCACAGGTGTGTATCACCACGCCCAGCTAATTCCCATTTTTTCAACAAACAAGATCATGAATAGGGAAGAAGAATTTTCGTGATATTCAGGAGAAAAAGGAGTTGAGCCAGCCGGGTGTGGTGGCACACGCCTGTGATCGCAGCACTCGGGAAGCTAAAGCAGGAGGATCACTGTGAGTTTGAGACCAGCCTGGGCTACATAGTGAGTTCCAGGTCAGCCTCAACTACATAGTGAGACCCAGTCTCAAAACAAAAAACAAAAAAGATTAAAAAGTCAAGCTAGTATCTCTCCTTATTATGAAAGACTGCCAAGAACCTACATTTCTGGGCTGGGGATTTAGCTCAGTGGTTCTGCTGCCTGCCTCACAAGTATAAGGACCTGAGCATGATCCCCGCTATCAAAAAAACCCAAAAAAACAAAAGCTACATTTCTACCAACAAGACACACAGGATGAATTATATCTCTAATAAAATTCTGTGCAGACAGCTGGACATGGGGGCTCATACCTGTCATCCCAGCACTCTGGGAGGCTGAAGCAAGAGGATGTCAAGTTTGAGACCAGCCTGGTACCTTAGCAGTTTAGTGAGATTGTCTCAAAAATAAAAACAGCTGGGGCCACGGATGTAGCTCAGCAGCACAGTGACTGCAGTGGCAAATGTGAGGTCCTGAGTCTGATCTCCTGTAGCAAACAAACTACAAAATAAATAAACAGAGCTGGTGTTGCATTTCAGGGTGCTTTGAGTCTGATCCTCAGTACCACACACAAGCACAAAATGCTGAGCAGTCAATAAAACAAAATGACCTAGATTGTACCAATAAACTCAATAAAAAGAAAAAAAATAAAAGAGGGAAAAAAGGTGAAAGCATAGGTTTGTAGCCAAGAATAAATATAACAATAATAAAGAAAATTTAAAAAAAAATAAAATGACTCCACTGTATGTACTGAATACTAAATAAGGTACGTCAAGTAAAAGAGCTCTAGGAAAGCGCCTAGCCTTTTTTAGGGACATATGTAGATGAGTGTGTCTAAACTTTTCTTTAGGAACACCTAGGAAACTGGTTTATCCCCGCGGCAGGGAAGAAATGGGCTCTGGAGGTCAGAAATGAGGATCTCCCCTCCCTCTGCCTCTGTACTGGGGAATGAACTGAGTCTTTGAACTGAGTTACATTGGCAGCCTTCTTTTAAAATTTATTTTGAGACAAGGTCTCCCTAAGTCACCAAATAGCCAGGCTGGGTTCGAACTTTCCATCCTCCTGCCTCAGCCTCCTGAACTGCTGGGATTACAGGTGACAACACACCTAGCTTGGGTAAAACACTTTTAAATTATCACTCAATTCTTATTTTCGGCTCCTTAAATTCTTTTACCGCGTACCTGAATACCTGGCCTATTTTAAGCAGCTGCTTTGAAAACAGCCCAGTCCGTGCTCTTGGGCAGCACAGGCTCTAGTGGTGGCAGAGACAACGTTCCTGAGGACCTGCACGCACCAGCGGTCAGTGGGAGCACCCAGCAGGGGGACGCTATGGGGGAGGGGATCGGGGTGGAACCACTGGGGAAGCAGACGCTCACGGGAACGTCGGCCACGCTGGGGACACAGCGTGGGGCGGGGATACTGCAGGCCGTGCTAAGGTACTGGGCCGGCGAAAGCCGGGAACACGCACGCTAATTCACCGCGGCTTCCTTCCACACGCTGCTGGCCTCACAAGTGTCCCCGGTGCGCAGCCGGCGCCTTCCCGGTCAGATATAACGGGACACGAGTGAGTACCCAGCTGAGTCTGAGCCATCGCCACTTACCGCCGACCCACCACCTTCTCCGCGGTCCACCGGCCACCTCCACTTCCGGGAGCGTGAGAAGTCACTTCCGACTCAGCCCTGGCCGACTCTGCTGCCTCCGCCCCAGGGTGAAGCCCCGCCCCATTTAAAGGGGCCACAAACTAGGGCTAGGCGGAGGCGGCTGGGAATCGTGACCTCCTTGCTATGTACTAGGGCCCATGGGGGTAGAACCTGCTCTAGAGCTTATGCCATGGAGGCGTTAAGAGCTCTCTAGGTATTGGGGCTCGGGGAGACCGGGAGGCCGCAGGTCAAAGGCCCCGAGCAGTCGAGTGGGATAAAGACAGAAGAGATTTAGACAAAAAACGCTCCCAGGACCCCAGGGCCGCTGTTTCTCTCCAGGGACCTCAGGACTTCACCTACTTGCCACGACCCTCCTTGGGTCTCCGCCTCAGCTCCCTCCTGCTTGCAGAGGCGCCGGCCTGGCCCGAGTTCTTGATGAGTTCTCAGTCCTTGGAGCCTGGCACCTCGGGTCCAGGGTGGGCTCTTTGGGCCCGTAGGGACCACAGTAGTAGGGGCCACAGCACAGGCCCGAAGCAGGGCAAGCAGGGGAGCAGGGACTCCCGCAAAGCAGCTCCCCACCCAGGGCCACCTTGGAGACTTAATTCACCAGTCTCCCTGAAATTCTGGCCCTCAGCCCCATCTCCCATTTCCCCACCTGTCTCTGCGGAGCAGCCAGGCCTGACTGAGACCCACGGCCTCCTAGAGCTCACTAGGATCCCCAAGAACGTGCAAGAGCCACCAAAGAGGAGAGGAATCCTAAAATTTTACATTTTTAATTTTTCACTTCTCTTTGCTTCCAAAAGGAAGAGTGTAGCTCCATCACCTGCACATTGTCCATGGCCCCTGGGCTAGGTCAGGGTCCTGGGTGGCTCAGGGGTCCACATGCAGCCCCTTGGGCCGCTGAGAGGCAAGTCCTCCGGGCAGCTGCCTTATTGCTGAGGCCTGGCGCGGTGTGGGGTCACCGGCCAACACTAGGCACGCTGGCTGGGCAGCTCCTGGGAGATGAAGCGGCGGAGCCGTTCCAGGTACTGGCTGTAGAGCTCGATGTCATTGTGTCCAGCGCCCTCCACCCACAGCGGCTCCACCGCCTTGGGGCAGCGCTCGTACAGTGCCAGCCCATGGGAGAAGTCAATCACTTCGTCCTCTGTGCCATGGATGATGAGCACAGGCGACGTGATCTTGGACACCTTCTCGATGCTGGGGGATCAGGCAGAGCAGGTTAGGCCTGGGAGCCCCTGGTCCAGGGTTCCGGGACACCCCCTACTCCCACACCCCACCCCCACCCCCAGTGAGTCCCCTCGCTCACTTGGGGAATGCATCAAAGCAGTAGGTCTTCCTGGTGTCAGGGAAGGCGACGCGCATGCCCGAGGTGAGCGGCGAGTGCAGCACCACAGCGGCACACTCGTAGCGCGAGGCCAGGTCCACCGTGGGCACTGTGCCAATGCTCTGCCCGTACAGGATGATGCTGTCTGGGCTGATGCCATACCTGGGGGAGCAGGTGGGAGCTGGACAGGGTCCCTAAGGCGGGGTCCCTTGCTCCCTGGCTTCGCCCTCTGCTCCTCCAGCAACTATAACACCAAGATCCCTCCCAGACAAGGTGCCAAATGCTTGTAATCCCAGCACTTGGGAGGCTGAAGTGAGAGGATCAAAGTGAGTTCGAAGCCAGTCTGATCTACATAGTGAGACCCTGTCTCAAAAAACAAATAAAGACAAACTGAAAGAATAACAAGAAGAAGAAAAAAAAAGAAACAAACAAACACTAAGCTCCCAAGAATGCACCTGATGGACACCAGGTCACTCCCGCCTGCCACACACACACATATACACACACAACGGGCCAGAAGGACAGACTTTCGGACCACCTGCCTTCCCTGTAACTGAATGGCTTCAAGCCCACCTGTTCCTCCGGCCTGCCCAGAGAGCCCCTCCCAGTGCACCTGCGAGGGGGCGGGGCTGCCTTGCTCTCCCACCCCTCACACACACCTTGACATCCTGGGGAAATTTAGGCAGCTGTGTCACTGGATGTTCCCACCCAGTCTTGGACCCTTCTGCTTTCCCTGTGCCTGATGAGGGGCTTAGCAGGACACCCTAGAGAAATACAGGCAGGGCTGTGGAAAGTGGATGCCTTTAAGACAGGTGCTCCGGTCCTGGGCCTGTCCTGACTGGCCAGCATCATCCCACCAGCAGCAGGGTGGTGTGCAGCGCACCTCCCAGGTTCACTGATCCAGCTGGCTCCATGGGCCCCCCTGCACCTATTCTCCATCCACAAAGGTACCCTCTCCCCTGCAGGATCCCACTGTTCTCCTCCTGACTCAGAAACTGATCCCACAATGTTGAACCCCTGGTGAACAGATGAACATTTGGGTTCCACCTGGGATGCCTCCTCATCCATCCAAGGGTCCCCTGTACTGGTCTCTGATCCTTGGCCCAAATCCCCAGCTCTATGACCATCACTTTGCTAAGTACCAGCGCGGCCCTGTCACCCAGCTTTAAGTAGGAGTGCCTAACTGCCAACTGGACACCTCTGACTGGACACCCTGAACTCTTCTGACAACACCCTCCTTCCCCAGGCCTCCAGACATTGGCCCAAGACTGAGGCCCAAACTTCCCCACCTCCCACTGCCTCTCCCAGCTGTGGGCTCAGGGCCAGGTCCCAAGATGACAGCTCTGGTGGCAGGAAAAAGGGACAGAGCTCAGGGCCCATACCCCACACTAGGGTGCGATTCTACTTGTGCCCCAAGCAGTGAGGACAGGAGGGGCTGTGCAAGCTGAGGTCAGATGTACCTGCAGCAGAGCAGGAGGGACACTCAGGCAGGTCCCCAGTACCAGGGTGGTGCCAGGGGACCAGGCTAGGCCTCATCGAGACTGCCTGGAGCTTCACCATGGTGACCAACACCACGCCTCCCCAGGGCAACTGACTTCTCAATGCTACACCTGGACCCACAGGGCAGGTCAGACCTGCTAGCCAAGCAGAGCTAAGACAGGCAGCCCGGAGCAGGTGCTGAGATGCCACCCTCAGTAGGGCAAGGACTGAGCTGCCCTCTACAAATGCTGGGGCAGAGTGAAAAACAAGTGTGCCACATAGACCAACTTGAAAGTGAGCAGAGGTGCTGCCTAAGACCTGGTGTCCAGGAGGGCAGGGACTGGACCAAGGGATCCCATGGCTAAGGGTCTGGAGTCAAAGCTGGCTAACCATAGGACACAACCCTCTGGCCCAGATGAAGGCCCCACCTGCCCGTTGCCCAGGGTGAGGCCCTGTTCCACAGCCACACACACCTAGGACCCTGGATGTAGTGATCCAGCCCCTCCCTGCACCCCAAGGGCCCCTTCCTACCACCACCTCCTCATGCTGGCAGACCCACACTCCCTTGTGAACAGCCCCAGGCCTGGAGGACCCCAGGCCAGTCTGAGCACCTGTGGCCCCTCTCAGACACAAGGAAACAGGAGTTCACACACCTAGCCCATGTTGCCAGCGCCCTCTGACCCAGCATGGGACCTGGTGCCAGGTTCCTCCAACCCCAGGGATGCATAGTCACCTCCCTAGGGGGCTCTGTAGCTGTCCCTGCTCCTCAAGTGGCCTCACCTGGTACGCAGGGCCTGCCAGGCAGCGTCAATGTCAGCATAGAGGTTCTTCTCAGAGGGCCGGCCTGAGCTGACACCATAGCCAGAGTAGTCATAGGAGAAGATGTTGCAGCTGAGGCGGGTGCCCAGGCCGATGTAGAAGCTGCTCATCTGGCCCAGGTCCACAGCATTACCGTGTGAGAAAAGAACTGTGTACCTGGGGGCACAGGTCAGGAGACGGGAGCACAGGCCTGGCCCAGGAGCTGTCCCAGGGCAGAGGACTCAGCACAGTCCTTCCTGGCAGCCAGAGGCACCCGTTGCCTCACCCTCTCCCCTCTCATGAGGCTACACAGCTGGGGGAGGGGCTGCCGAGAGGACAGGTGGCCTGGGTTTCTCCCACCATGATAGCCCGCAGGCCTTGGGCCGTCCATCTGAAGGGGACACTGATGCACCACAGGCTCGGAAAGCTGCAGCAGCTACCACCACCAACCCTGCAAGACTGTGGCCACCTCTGCTGCAGAAGGCCTCCTGCAGTGGACTAAGCAGCCCAAGGTAGCTGATGCTACTGCTCGAAGCCTCTCTGGGGCAGGAACCAGGGCCACCGATGTGACATCTGTGCACTCTCAAGGGACACTTCACTGCTGTGAGATCGGGGACCCACCCAGGCCCCCAGCAAATGAATAAGGCCAGTCCTACCCACAGAAGGCCTGAGGCCACCCCATGAGGCCTGCAATGGGACTAGGGCCTGTCTGAGGTCAGGCCAAGGACAAGTACAGGGCTGGCCCTGCCCATGGGTGGCTTCCCATAGCACCTGCAACCTGGCCGGAAGCTAACAGCTTGCCCTTCGGGCTCAGAAGACCTGGCAGAGAGGACCCCACCCACCTCAGGCGGGGCCAGGCACGCAGCCCTGGGGAACAGGCCAGAGCAGTCAGCTGGGCTGATCCAAGGTGTCTCCTCCCCTGATCTCTGTGCTTATCAGTAAGATGGGGTGCTAAGGAGGCTCCCAGGGGGACTGCACATGGAAGTGGCCTGGGCATCTCAGCAGCAGCTGACAGAAGGCCTACTATGGCCCAATCTGGGCAGCTACCTGATTAGTAAGACAAAGTGAGCAAGGAGGGGCACCATGCCCATGCCAGCTACTTGGCCTTTTCACCCCAGCTCAGGACCTTCAGCACCACCACCAGCCCTACCACATGCTCTGGGTAGGAACAGGAGTCTGAGAGCAGGGTACCAGGTGCCCCTGCACACACCCCCCCCCCAGCTCTCACCTGGCCCCAGGCACGCAGCGCACATACATGCAGGAGATACGGTTGCCACGGGCACTCTTTGTCAGGAAGATCTCAATGGTGTCCAGCTCGCGCTGACCATACTGGAAGTCAGCCCGCTCCGTCAGGTGCACCTTCCAGCGCCCAGGGGTACCTGCGGAGGCCCGCAGGGTCCCTGATGGGGCAGCCCCGGCTCCGCCAGGTACTGGCTCCGGCTCAGGCAACAGCGAATAGGTGGGCTCAGGTGGCAGGAAGGCGAGCTTGGCAGCGATGCGGCCAGGGCAGGGCGGACAGCAGAAGAGGCAGCAGAGTTCGCTCACCGACAGGCCGTTCATGGCGGGCGGGCACCGGGTCCTGCACTGGGCCTCCTATAGGGCACCCGCCAACAACGCGGCCGGGCCTCACTTGGCAGGGGAGGTGCGGAGGTTCTCAGACACTTGGTCACCACCCTTGACAACAGCCCTGTTAGGAAGCTGTGGCCCAGCCCCATCGCAGTCCGAGCCGAGCCCCCAGGAGCCTTGCAGTCACGGGTCTCCATGGTGTGCCGTGGGAAACCCTGCGGGGACATGGGGCAGGTTCCTTCCAGGAAGCTGGGGCACAGGTCAGGACCCGCCCAACCACGCCAGGTGAGGAGGCACGGCTCCAAGTCCTGCCCATCCCCACAGCCCCATTTCATCCTCTCCTGTCCAGACTGCCACAACCTTGGCCTTGCTGGCCAGGCTTACCCTAGACAGGACTGTCCAAGGCTTGTATCCCCAACCTTGCCCTAAGCCCAGCCATCACCTGCAAAGAGCAAGGCCTTCAGAGCCCTAGCCCACCCCAGCCTCACTTTCCCTGCCTTGGGCCCAGGGTGACCGTCTCTCCCAGGCCTCTGTCCACACTGCTGCCCAAACCCTTGTTCTGCCCATCTCATTGCAATCCTTCAGGGACTCATCGGCCACCTCCAGAAGAGGGCACAAGTCTCAGACCAAAGGACCCCAGAGCACATGGGCCCCTCTCCTGCAGCACAGCTCCACAAGCTCACAGACTGTTTGGAGACAGAGCTGCCCACAGAGGAAATACAACAAACAAAGGCTCCCGAAACAATGGCAGGATACATCTTGAGCTGGGAAGGCCCCACTGAGTCTGGACAATGGCTCTTCCCTGTTGGGCCAGGCAGGGTCGAGGGTGGGATCAGGCGAGGAGCCTGGGCCTGCTGCTTTATTGCTGCAGCCTGGGGCCTGTGTGACCCTCCTGGCCTCATCTACAATTGTGGGTGCCACTTGCCTCAGGAAGCAAATGAGACGGGAGTAAAATGGGGATGAGGGGCCTGGCTCAAAAAGGAACTCTGATGTTCCTCCTCTCTGCAAGACCTGCAAGGTGCCGTTAAATATGTTAAGTGAACAACAATTAAGGCCAGAGCAATGAAGACAACACAAAGATCTGAGAAAAACCCATCCACTGACCATACCTTCCCTCATGGAGAGGAGTAGAGAACACCCAGGCTCACTCAGCTTTGAGTCACAGCATTGGAAGATCTGCCGTGGGGCAGAGGCCCCCACAGCCCAGATATGTACCCTCCAGACCTCAGAAGTGAGGCCCAGGACTGGAGTGAGACCCAGTCATCAAGATCCAGGAGCACATCGGGAAGAGTGCTGTAAAAGCCAGGGCAGAGCTAAGGATGAAGTCACTGAACCACAAATTCCCATGCAGGTTGCAGATCTCACATGGGGTACTTTTCAGAAGAGGGAAGTCTATGGTATCAGTTCTCAAAAAGAGGTGGTCCTGCCCCTCAGGGGACTGGGCAATGTGTGGCAACACCTGTGGTTGTCACAACTGAGGGCATGGCGTATGTGAAGGACAGGGACACTGCTCTCTACCCTGTAACATCTACAATGGCCCCAACAGGGAATAACCTGGCCCCACGTGTCCACAGTGTCAAGGGTGAGAAATGTCAGCTTCAAAATACCCCCAAAGGAGGGCTGGGAGCTCAATGGCACCGCACCTGCTTCATAAGCACAAGGTCCTGAGTTCCATCCACGGCACCGAAAGGAAAAAAAAAAAAAAACTCCCAAAGGGATGGGGGCCCAGTAGATAAGGCTCTGCTGCTGCTGGGTGGCCTGCTAGGAGGCTCCTGACTCCTGGAGAATGACAAGGGTGGACATAGCCCTAGGACCAAAGCTAGAAACACAGGTGTCATCCCTGATACTCCTCCACCCTCCAGGCCCAATCCAATCCATGCCTGGGCCTGCTGCTGGCTCTACCAGTTTGCCACCACCTGGTCCCTGCCTCTAGAATTTTTCCTCATCCTGCAGCAACAGCCTTTCCTTGAGGAGTCACCCCTCAGCAAGCATCACCCCAGTTCGGGCCCTTCTACCCAGCAGGCAAGGAGTCCTCCCACAGCACTGATCTGATCACCCTGCCATCTCCCTCAGAGGATATCCCCGTGGCCTCCCGCTATTCCCAGCAGATCACATCCCTCACCACAGCCCGCCAAGCCTACAGCCAGGCTCAGCCAACCTCTTCATCTCACACAGCCCCTTCCTGCCTCAGGGTTGCCTGTTTCCCTGCTGAGAACCTCTTCCCCTACCCAAGTGGTCCATCCTTGCCCATCCTACCTCACTCCCATGGTTCCACAGCTGATTTACATGTTTAATGAGATCCCCACCCCCCAACTACAACTGCATGTGAGCAGGACCAGTAGGTATGTGCTTTAGCACAATAATCATTTGCTGAACAGATGGGTAAGGGGCACAGGAAGAGGGGAAGCTGCAGGAGAAAAAAATCCACCAGGCTCAGCTAGCTTCTTTCCTAGGACCTCCCATGTGTCACTGATGGGTCGGAATGGGAAGCTCACACCAGGATAGATCTTTCACCGGGCACCCACCGCGACACCCAGAACCCCAACAACTTCAACCACAAGCTCACAATTGCGCAGCCCTCAGCCAGGCCCCAGAAGGCACCAGTATTAAAAGGTCCAAGAAGGAGCCAAATACACTCTAAACGACCTACATAGGACTGCGGGCCATGGAACCTCAACCAGCCAGTCAAACTCCCTGCAGGAAGATACAGAGAAAGTGGCCAGGTGGCAGCGAGTTCCAGAAACTGCAGGGTCCTGGCTAGGAGAGAGTGTGGCAGAAAGAAGGGTCGCAGAGGGCAGCAGGGCCAAGAACCCAGCTGCGGATGGGGACTTCATCCTGGAGGAAATGAGGAGTCACAGAGGAGACCTGGGCCCAGGTGGAAACCACAGGTGAGGAACTGTGGACTGAACTCTGGGTGCACCTGGAGAACCGCTGGATGGGGGGGAGGCCTGCTCGGGGGTCCCACTGGCAGGAAGACGCATGACAACGGCCATGGAGGGATGCGACGAGGAGCCCCGGTAAGGGGCCAAGGGCAGGATCCTGGACAGGAGCAGAATCCGCCGCCCGGCCGGGCATTCCCCACGGCGGGGGCCGCGTCCCCAGGAAAGTGGGCGATCGCTCCATGCCGAGGGCTGGGTGGACGGTGGACAGGGCTTCACCAGGGCCCGCAAGATGGCCCGCGGACCCCAACCCAGGTCTGGGATCTCCGGGCAGGATCCGCAACCGCCCAGGAGTGCGGGGGTCTCGGGAGCGTCCGATCTGACTGCCCCGGCCGCGCGGCCTGGCCAAGCTCCCCAAACGGCAGTGGCT